TAATCTTCCCAACTGTTCTATCAGATAATTGCCTGAGAACAATGACACATCACTGCCTGTCTGGGTGCAAAACACTGTGAAGTATGAGATAACCATCCATGCAGTTGTGATCCATCTGAGGTCTAAGAAAGGAGAGTTGCTCTTTCAATCCACAGAGAAAATTTTCCTCCTTAAAAAGTGTAAAAAGGTCAGAACCATGACCATGCAAATAGACACTGCACTGTACTGCTTCATCCCCTTGAGAGAAGCAGCACAGAACAGATGAAGGTGGTCATCCTTGTTTTTTCCCCTTGGACAAGCTACACAAACATCCCTGAGCTTTCATCTGTTCACCTGAAAAAAAATAAAGTGGGCTTCATGTTTCCTACTTTTATTATGTCACAAGACTCATATAGCAATTTTAAAAGGCACTTTGAGAAAGATGCAAGTACTCAAAGAGGCAACACAGTATAGTGGTAAAAAATATGATATCCAGGACAGCCTGTTTATCTTCCTATCCTGACAATTTCACTTACTTGTTGGGCAATTTGCAACCTTTCTGTACCTCAGTTTAAAACAGGAATAATAATAATAGTACCTCACAAAGCTGTTTGGAGAATGTAATAAATTGATATGTTTAAATCACTTAGAATACTGCCTAATACAGTTAGCACTCAATAAGTCACAGATATTATTATTATTAAATAAATATTAATAGTAGTAGTATATACAATTGTTGGGGGGAAAAAAACCAAGAAAATCATTGGAACCATGTCACTAAAGAAGCTTATGTGGGTGACCTCATAATGTAAATTAAAATTTGTTTAAACAAACATAAGATTTTTGCAAACATTAGCAGAAAATTTGGGACTAAGCTCTAGTAATAATAACACATACAATTTTTGAGATGCAAGGGAATCTATTGAAGGTCGGACCAATTATTTCATCCAGCATATAATCTCATCACAAAATGGCCTTCTCAATTTTCAAGATCCATGCTTAATATCTGATCAAACCTGATAAAGTATTCAACAAACTATCCCTTAATACCGGAATCATATAGCTCTAGCTCTTTCCCTCACATTCCCCATGTAATCTATGAGCACATACTGTTCTTTCTACCTTCAAAANATATAGCAATTTTAAAAGGCACTTTGAGAAAGATGCAAGTACTCAAAGAGGCAGCACAGTGTAGTGGTAAAAAACATGATATCCAGGACAGCCTGTTTATCTTCCTATCCTGGCATTTTCACTTACTTGTTGGGTAATCTTGGGCAATTTGCAACCTTTCTGTACCTCAGTTTAAAACAGGAATAATAATAATAGTACCTNGCCCTTCATGCCAGACACTCTAGTCCTAGATCAAATAGATTCAAACCCCAAACAGTCTGAATTCAATCCTTAATGCCTTATCAATAAATTATGCTACCTTATATTTTGTTTCTATATGATTCTATGTACCTAGTGTGTAGCTTATTATAGATAACAAATTAAAGAGAATTATTAGGTAATTCCATAATTACCTAATAGTAAAAAGTACCTGGATTTTAGGGCCTGGCACCTGGGTTTGGATTTCAGCTTCATTTAATAGTTTGAACGTGATTTCTAAAGTCTCTAGAGGTCTTTTTCCTTCTTCTGTGAAATCGTGGTAATAGATACTTCATAGTTATTGGGGAAACCTTTTTATACTAATGTGTTTGCATAGTGTTGCTTACTAGGTTAAAACTTGG